AACATCTGCTGGACATCTGCAGGCAACATTGAAACACACATTTATATTATGGATAGATGTGACTACATTCACACTTTTATCCAGCAGCTTAAATATGATTGAAAGTTGTCACCCGTTTAGAAAGAATTAATAATAATTTAATAATCAAAAAGAACTAAAACGTTTCCATCTCCATTCAGATTTCATTACCCAAAATGTAGTCCTATAACACACTAATACCACAGAACGCATTGCCAGTCCATGAATCCAGCTATGACCTCACATTAAAACAGGTGTATCATCCTGCCTGACAATATTTCTGAACAATATTTTAATATATTTAAAAAAGGCTGAAGAGGAAGAAGACAACAGAAGGACAGGTACTGAAATACTGCACCCCCTCATATAAAAACATTTGCATGTATTTATTTATTAGATATTTCTTCATGGAGCTCTTTAATTTATTCACTTTGTTTATGACAAGAATTCTTTTAAATCTTTGACTAACATTTTTCATTTTTTTCCAGTGAGAAAAAATTGTAACTTGTTGCAGCTGTAGGGATGTCCTGAATCCTGTTTTAAAATTTCTTCATCAACAAAGGACAAGCTGTGATCGGGAGAGAGCTACACGCTGTGATGAATTCATCACCTCGCTGTGCTGGAGGTGTCTTTCACCTTCCCCCAAGTATCCTTCAACACTTAATTAGCTCAGCATTTGAGCCATGACTGCAGTCAAACATGGTCCAGTACACAAAGAGAAATGGTTTTTCTTTCATGCTTTGGCAAGTAAACTTTATTGATAACTGTAGTTCACTCGGGATCTTGACTGAAATGTACAAAACTGAGGATAAAAGAAAAAAAGAGAAGAAATTAACAAATTTTTAACAGGTTCCCAAATTTCATCCTGCCCAGTGCTGGAAAAATCTAAATGATATCCAGAAAGGACAAAAAATTGAATTACATGTCAGAGCAGTGTGTTAAAATAAAAGAAAAAAATATCTGTCTTACCGAGACCTGTCCTAACTTGTGTTGGTGCCGTGTCTGATGTGGTTGGCGCAGATATCGGGGACAGCAGCCCTCGGAGGTCACCCAGTTGATGGCTCTTTCTTTGAGGCATCTCTATTCCACTGACAGTTTTCAGGTACAAATGTCTGAAACTGTAATTAAACAGACATCAGTATTTTAATATCAACTGTATATCTGTGCAGATATAACTGACTGATCACTTGCATAAAAAACACTGTGTCAGCTCT